AGTATAAGTGTGCAGGTACAACTTAATTTTCTATCCTTAATCTTTTGGTGTTTTAACTATTAAACTCATTACTGCTTCCACTTACCAGCTCATCACACACCCCACCTCATCACTATGTTGAGGCTAAATGGCTGATTTTCAGGAAGTAATGATTCAAGTGTATAACACAAATATAGTAAAAAAAAAAAAAAAAAAAACTATAAAGCAAATGTTGCTTAACACAATGTTTATTTTTATTATATTTGTATTATAAAATAGAATCATTACTGGGCACTACATTGTTACTTGCTGGAGGACAAAAGATACCCTTTTCTGCCTTATACGACACCCTACCTGCAGCCTGACCCAGAGAAAATCTCAGTGACCCAAGCAGACAAAACAGATGGAAGAGTGCTAAAAAAATATAATTAGTCAAAAAACTATGTTTAATCAAATAGTTTGATCTGTTGATTTCTTCATTTCCTGAAATAAAATGAATGATTTTGTACACTGCTTTATACACACACCTTTCAACGTGTAACATATTTTTCATATACATTTCTCACCTTAAGTTGATGCTCATGTGACTTTATCTTTGAAGATGGACCTTATACAGCTACTTTAGAATTTAAATATGCAGATAAAAGATTTTGTGATCCAAGAGTAATATTCAAATATGGAAAAGTGCAGAAAATTCTTACACTGCTTGTTAGTTGAGGCAGAAAGAACTTTGTCTGCATGCAAAATAAAAAGAACCTAAAGCTATCTGACAACAATCACTTACAACAGTGACAGAGTGTGTGGTTTAAGTCAAAAACTCAACCTGAAAAGCCTTTATTATAGGACACAGCAGTTAGACAGGCCTCTTTCTATTAGCTGCATGGCAGAAAGAATATTCTAGAGTGTTAAATAAAGAGCTCCAGTAATTAAATATTACCTTTTATGATAATGTTTCTGTGTTTAATGACTTTGGACAGAGTTCTAGCTCCAGAAAGATTACAATTTCTATGAGCCTTATTAGTCAATACACATATCGTGGCCTTAAGAAATTAATGGCAAGAAAAATAAATGCATGAATGGTTACACAACATACTCAAAAAGGATGTTAAAGAGTAGTTTAATTTATCATTACAATAAAATGGAGGGTGGCATGTGTAATTTAATGAACTAAAAATTTCTTATTATTAATTTTTTATTTTCTTATCTATTTCTTATTCTATATTTCTTTCCTTCGTTGAAGCAGATGTGTAATCTCTGTGTTTAAAACCTCCAGCTTCGCCTCTGTAAAGTGCGTTGCCCTTTTTTTCTCACCGTGACTTTCTATGGTGACTCGTGAATTCGGTAATCTACTGAAAATGCCTTCAGGTGTGTGCCGTGCACGCGCATTAACCCGCGGTTATCTTCAGGAGATTGATTTAACTAACTCTTGTCACCTGTTTTGGAACCAACATACTCGCGGTAAGCAGGTTTTGGGTAAATCAACCGAGAGTTTAGGTTTTAGCAGATGGTAAGTTAACCCAGCTTTCTGGAATACCCCCCAGAGCATGAATAAACAATGCCAGAATAGTGAGTATGTGCCTAAAAAAGACCACTTGATGGCAGTACTACTACCATCCAGACTCTAGTTACCCATAAAGGACCTTAGGGGAGGAAACTTGATGAAATCGTCAGTTTATCAGTGGCACAAGAACCTGGGGGGTATTCCAGAAAGCTGGGTTAACTTACCATCTGCTAAAACCTAAACTCTCGGTTGATTTACCCAAAACCTGCTTACCGCGAGTATGTTGGTTCCAAAACAGGTGACAAGAGTTAGTTAAATCAACCTCCTGAAGATAACCGCGGGTTAATGCGCGTGCACGGCACACACCTGAAGGCATTTTCAGTAGATCGCCGAATTCACGAGTCACCATAGAAAGTCACGGTGAGAAAAAAAGGGCAACGCACTTTACAGAGGCAGAGCTGGAGGTTTTAAACACAGAGATTACACATCTGCTTCAACGAAGGAAAGAAATATAGAATAAGATAAATAAATAGATAAGAAAATAAAAAATAAATAAGAAATTTTTTTAGTTAATTAAATTACACATGCCATCCTCCATTTTATTGTAATGATAAATTAAACTACTCTTTAACATCCTTTTTGAGTATGTTGTGTAACCATTCATGCATTTATTTTTCTTGCCATTCATTTCTTAAGGCCACAATATGTGTATTGACTAATAAGGCTTATAGAAATTGTAATCTTTCTGGAGCTAGAACTCTGTCCAACGTCATTAAACACAGAAACATTATCATAAAAGGTAATATTTAATTACTGGAGCTCTTTATTTAACACTCTAGAATATTCTTTCTGACACGCAGCTAATAGAAAGAGGCCTGTCTAACTGCTGTGTCCTATAATAAAGGCTTTTCACTGGTTGAGTTTTTGACTTAAACCACACACTCTGTCACTGTTGTAAGTGATTGTTGTCAGATAACTTTAGGTTCTTTTTATTTTGCATGCAGACGAAGTTCCTTCTGCCTCAACTAACAAGCAGTGTAAGAATTTTCTGCACTTTTCCATATTTAAATATTCCTCTTGGATCACAAAATCTTTTATCTACATATTTAAATTCTAAAGTAGCTGTATAAGGTCCATCTTCAAAGATAAAGTCACATGAGCATCAACTTAAGGTGAGAAATGTATATGAAAAATATGTTACACGTTGAAAGGTGTGTGTATAAAGCAGTGTACAAAATCATTCATTTTATTTCAGGAAATGAAGAAATGAACAGACCAAACTATTTGATTAAACATAGTTTTTTGACTAATTATATATTTTTAGCACTCTTCCATCTGTTTTGTCTGCTTGGGTCACTGAGATTTCCTCTGGGTCAGGCTGCAGGTAGGGTGTCATCGTATAAGGCAGAAAAGGGTATCTTTTGTCCTCCAGCAAGTAACAATGTAGTGCCCAGTAATGATTCTATTTTATAATACAAATATAATAAAAATAAACATTGTGTTAAGCAACATTTGCTTTATAGTTTTTTTTTTACTATATTTGTGTTATACACTTGAATCACTACTTCCTGAAAATCAGCCATTTAGCCTCAACATAGTGATGAGGTGGGGTGTGTGATGAGCTGGTAAGTGGAAGCAGTAATGAGTTTAATAGTTGAAACACCAAAAGATTAAGGATAGAAAATTAAGTTGTACCTGCACACTTATACTTTGGACAAATTTTATATTATCAGTGTCCTTTAGTGACTGATGGAGCTTTAAAATCGGCTGCAATTAATGCACACAATAGCATTTAGAAACCCTGAAAAAAATATTATATTAAAAAATGTAGGTGTGTGTGCGTGAATGTATATATAAGAACGACGTCCTACATCTTAAATTAAAGATATATTTTCCTACAAAAGACAAAGCTGCCACTTATAATATTATACAGAAAAATGTGAGGGTGCAGAAGAAGAGAAAAAACACAAGATCTGTAAGTGAGATTCGAACTCGCTCCGTTGTGCGCTCTGTTGTTCTTTATTGACGCACTGTCCACTACGCTATTCCCGTGCTCTGAATCATCTGTGTAACGATACGCAGTAATGTATGACCAAGGAACTGTACAAAAGTGTAAAAAACAGTTCAGTGTCAGGCATACTGTACAGGTGGTCCTACTGCCACATTGTACAGTTGCCTAAAATGCCCTGACGCGAATACAAAGAGCTGCACTGAATGTTTTTTATGGTAAGCACAGACCCGCGGTTTGTCACATTTGATTTCAAAAAGGTTTGTTAAATACATTAACATTATGAATTTGGTTATGAAAAAAACTATGCACTTAACCCTCTCACAACGAAAAAACTTGTATCTGTGTGTCCACATCCATAAATATTCTCATCAAAAGAGCATGCAATGCTCAGTAAACTCTCTGAAACAGACAAACTCTGAAACATAGCAACTTACTCTCTGAACATAACCTGCTCCGGAGCAGGTTATCTTCAGAGAGTAAGTTGCTATGGCTACTTAACATACCCAGAAGTTACCTCCGATTTTGGAACCAAAGTTGAGGTTATCCACCTACTTACTCTCAAACTTACCCGTGTATGTCACATAACCTGCTTTCTGGAATAGCCCCCTGTCCTCTTCAGACTGTTCCGTGTCTATGGATCTGATGGGTCATACAATGCGATACAACGTAGATTTCATTGTGATAGTCATCTTCTTATGGGCATCACATCTTTTGCGATCATCAGTGTACGGTAAGTTTTGTAATAGTAGCCTTTATGAGTTAGGTATTAACTTGCTTATTGCACATTTTGACCGTATAGGCATGAACACGAGTATATCCAGGTTACAGCAGCCTGCTTTTTACACTGTTCTAGAAAGGAGTATTGCCATTGCCATACTGAACCCTTAGAAAAGACATTGCCAGAAGGTTTTGTGCACGACATGCATTGTTTTTTGATTGTTTGTATTTGTTTTAACTCACCCTGATTGTTAGTACTGTGAATAATTAAAGTAGCCTACATTTTCTAAAGTAACGGCGAGGTAAGGAAGAGGGGAAGGTAAAGCGCTTTTTTTGTGTTCTACACAGTATATATCTGTAGAACCTGAGACGTGCACTTATCAGCCATGCAATTATATGTGTTATTTACCAAAAAATAAATAAATAAATAAATAATAATAATAATAAATAAATAAACTAAAAAGCAGGCATTATACTTGCCCTATATACATGGCCTTACATAATTTTGAGTTGATTTTGAGAAACTCCCAGACACGTAGTGCATGCCTTTATATGTCCAAAATAACATTATCCATTTTACATTTACATTACATTTACATTTAGTCATTTAGCTGACGCTTTTATCCAAAGCAACTTACAAACGAGGACAAGGAAGCAATTTACACAACTATAAGAGCAACAATGAATAATTGCTGTAAGTTTCAGTTGTGTAAAGTCTAAGAAGGAAAGCATTAGAAATTTTATTTATTTTTTTTTTGTAGTTAAGGGAGGAGTCAGAGAGGGAGTTGCATATTAGTAAGGAAAGTGGAGACTAAATAGTTGAGTTTTTAGTCGCTTTTTGAAGACAGTGAGTGACTCTGCCGTTCTGATGCAGTTAGGGAGTTCATTTTATGATCACTATAAGAAAACAATTCTCTCGAGATTCTGTGTACACTGGTTTGTATGTCGCCTGTATAGTAGATAAAACAACGCTATACTCATAAGAATTTACTTTACACAGACTGATTACATCTTGCACATTTGCATAGTTAATGTGGATTTACAAATAACCCAATTAGATATGGCACAATGTTTCTGATAGAAAATTGAGACTTTGATTGTGCTGGTATTTTTATATCGTTGACATTGGGGATCTTCTGTCATAAATGCTTTAAAAATTACTGACATTCCAGTACAGTAACAAATTTCTAAACAATTGGGCGATTTAGAAAGAGTATATCATTTCTAGTTTTTAATAAGGAATATACAAAATGTTTCAATTACAGGTTCATATTTAAATCGTGCTAGGCAACTAAATGAAGAAACGCAGATGACCTGACCACAGTCAAACGCATTGTGCTTTTAAGCTAATTGATCTTTAAAGAATCTGCTTTATTTGCTTTGTTTAATTTGTGAAACCTTAATATGTACTGTATGGAAGAATCGTTTCATACAATTACATTTAAGCCCAGTGAAGCCTTGAATTACTAAACTAAAGCCATTTCTTGTGTTTTTCAGCTCATTCTACATTGCAGTTTCGGTTCCATTGTGAAAAATTGGCTACTTCCAATGGCTTTATGTATCAGGTGCCTCAATATGTTATTCCTGGGGGAAACTTGAAGGATTGTGAACATGGCTGGTATTTTCTGGTAGGAACACCTTTTGTTTTACCTTTACATTTTTACAGAAATAACGAAGATGTTTTTTTAATTATTATTATTTGGTTTGTCCATAGAATGGAACATTTATTGTTGACTCAACCATCCCGGGGGAAAATTTAGGATTTGTTGTGCGTGTGAATCCTGAGAACCTGACTGTTACAACATGTGTAAACCTTAAATGGCAACTTGACTGTGATAACATTAAGGTAGGTGCCATATCTGTGTCTGTGTATTTACAAATTAAAAAGACAATTTGCTGAATAATTAAATGGACATACAAGGTTCTAATGAGGTCATTTTTGTTCTGTTACAGTTTTACCGTATTGTCAATTATACAGGTAAGCAATACACAATAAATGCTCTGGTTTAGAAACCAACTTTTTTATTGCTGGATTGGTTAACCTAAAAATAATGATCACATAATCACTGAATATGGATTTATTTCATTAGAAGAATATGAAAGCAGATGTTTGATTGTAATGACACCCTAACCATGTGGAAAAAATGCATCATGAAAAGTTTTGTATATTAAAATGATTTGTGTATGTTTGTTAGAAGTGAGACTTGAAGTGACACTTATAACAACACAAACGACCTTGCCAGAAAATAACACTTCACCAGGAGACAAGGACCGTGGTAAGTAATATTTTTAACATTTGAAATAGTTTAATTTCACATTTGATTGTTTTATTTTTTATTTGTTTTTTTTTTTTAAATAAAGAAATTAAGAGGCATACAATGCAATTCTCTCTGTTGTCTTGTCTGTTGTTAGCAAGTTTTGCAGGCTCGATAATTGCTGTGCTTGTGGGGATTGGGATAGTGGGTCTTATCCTGGCTGTTACCTGTTGTTTATTTGGGAAAAAAGCATACAAGAAGGTAAGTTCATGTCATTAAAATGGTCGTTAATAGTGAGATGCTTGTGATAAAGATATTATATTATTATTATTTTTATTTTTATAATGTTTTTAATACATTATACTATTGTTGTTACACATTAAGCAATAAAAGTGAAACCTATAACAAGTCATATTTTGCTTTGTAGAAAGTTTAATATTTGTTGTATATTTCTAACAATGGGAATGGTTTCCATTATTTCCTAGATCAAGGAGCCTTCACTTACAGCAGTAAATGGGTCCGACAAACAATCTTATGTCTGAAACGCATAACCCTAACCTTAACGCCCCATTCACATGGGGCTTCAGCATCAACGCTTGACAGAGGGCATGTCTGAAGTTGGGGCTGACATGATCGTCATAGCAGCATCAGCCAAGGAAAATAGTTATCAATCGACTGCTTTCTGAGCTGGTGTATTTGCATAAAGTGATCTGATTGGCTGATGCTTCCATTGGGGCTAGAAAAAATTATGAAAGTCCTAACTTCTGCAGCGACCAAGCCACTGAAGCGGTGCCGACGGATCCACAATGTTGTTCGGCAACGCCTGACGTCATCCATTAAAAGTAAATGGAAAGCGTTGAAGCTGACGCCCCAAGTGAATGGGGTGTAACCCTAACACCACCACCTGAGTCCCTTAAATGACTATGTGACATCCCAGTGCTGCCAGATCTCTTCATTCAAAGCCTCTTGATCCGCCAGTGCTTCCTGATCCACTCTGGATGTCTGACCCGCCAGTGCCTCTGTCACTTTTAGTATCATGTTTGTTATGTTTTTGCTTGTTTGCTAAAACAAAATAATTTTCAAACAAAGTTCTTAAAAATTACAGCAGCCCACATAAATTAGTGTTAAGAAGTTAAGGTTTAAGAGCCCTACTCAAGCAAACACTATTTACCATTATTATTGCAGTATCGACACTTTACCAATGGCCAGGAGGTTGCTTTAGAGGATGGACTCCTTCCTCTCTCGCCTCCAACACCCTTACTGAATGCTGAGAGCAGGTGAGATGCTTACATACCCTTCCTCGGGACATGCTGCTTTCCGAGGTGGGTACTCCCACCTGAGCTGCCCCACCGCTGATGCGTTGATGATCGCTCTAATGGTGTCACTGGCTCTGTGAGCCTGGTTAGCGCTGCTCAGTCTGGGATAGTGGCACATTGTGACAATAAGACTCTGCTATGTGATTCAGTTCACCACACAGCCTCCAAGTTCAGGAGTGTGCATTTTACTGTGGTAAAATCTGCAGCTGCCCCTGTCTTGTGAAGGAATTGCTGTTCTCTCGTGAAGGACGCAATTGAGCTGTTTCTCTAGCCGAAATAGAATGCGTGTTTCTTAACCGTATTTCATCCCATCCCATCCCATAAGTGTGGTGGCTAATGACCAATCCTGGTTCTGTGCACTTTTTAAACATTTGTCTTGGTTGCACGCAGAGACATGATGATCCGGCATCACAGCCAGGGGGCGATTCAGGTCAACTGAGAAGAGAGTCCCCTTTGTGTGGAGTTTTTTTTGAGATGGAGTTAAACTCAGACCCTATGTCACCCCCAGGGAACCCTGGAACAAGTGTTCAGACAGATGCATCCAGTGCAGACTGAAAAGTCATGACACGAGCATGCAGCTGTGAACCCCTACATTGAGCTACATTGTCATGTTTAATGCCTGGAGTTGTTGGCAGTGTTTTTCTTGCTCTGTGCCGGTTCTGGCCGCCTGACACTTGGCACCCCAAAGTGTGACAGGTTCAGCTCCTGTGGCGCTTAGGATATTTTCCCTTAGCTTAGGGGGAACATCTTGGTTATGTACATAATCCTTGATCCCTGAAAGAGGGAAAAGAGACTTTTATGTCCAGCTGCCACAGGAGCTTAATTCACAAGTGGAACCAGTTTTCAGACATCTGTCTTTGACAGATGCATCCAGTGCAGGCTGGAAAGCCATGACACGAGCATGCAGCTGTGAGCCCCTACCGGGTCCTCGGCTACATTGGCATGTCTAATGCCTGGTGTTGTTGGCAGTGTTTATCTTGCTCTTCTGCGAGTAGTCTAAGGAGTTTCCTCTCAAGGTAGCCTTTATACTCCTAACTGCGGAGTGGCTACATTTGTAAGAGCTGCACTTGCCAATTCCATATGCGTTCCATTGGCCTGTTTTAAACAAATCAGAGTGATTGGTGCTTCTAAGCGAATCCACTAGTCAACAAAATCAACATAAACATCTCCGTTTCCTCCTTCAGGGAAAGAGGGTTTTACGTACGTAACTAAGACGTTTCATATTATAGTGTAATTTCAGTCGTTTTTAAGTCACACCCACTTTGTCTGCTTGTTTCTCTGTTCGTTGTTTTGTTTAATTTAGTTTAAATAAAAATACTGTGGGCTGCATTTGGATCCTCCACTCTGTTTATTTCAACTACATGCCCAGACGTGACACCTGAAATGGAAGGGTGTTTTGTAGGTCGCTGCTCTCTTGATTGAGACTGATGTGGCCAGGAGCACAGTTTTTTTTTGTGAGCAATTAGCTGACCCACTTGGCCCACTAGAGCTCCCAAGAGGATTAGCCCACCAGCACCTTTTCAGGGACTGGATTATCAAGTCATGCTTACCAAACATTCTGCCTCCCACAACATCATAAAGCAGAGATGGCAGTGATTAAAAAAACTTGTGGAAGGTGAAAACCGCCACGCCACTTAACTGAGGGAAGGAAGTACAACCCTGATCAGGCTCAAAAGGTTCAAAAATATTTATTTTAGGTATTATTTAAATGATCAAAATCTAAATATTCCAGAACACCATCTTTATACGCATAGTACAGATTTTTAAATATGCATATATATTTTTCCCCTATATCATTATTAACAAGTTATTTTAGTTTTGTTGTCTGTATGAAGTTACAGAGCAATATTTCAGCCTGGAGATAGCACACCTTGAGATTTTTTTGGGCAAAGCAAATATGGCGTCTTTTGTCACATTTATTAGGCAAATACATCCCTGGACAACATATTGAATAACTTTGGTGCATTCTTCAGTAAAAGAGTGGAATTGACTGCTATCTGATTCAGTGTCAGAGTTTCTTAATCTTATACCTTAATGTACTAAATGGCAGAGCGATGGAAAACTCAGCTCCAATTAATTTGTGCTCCCTTGAAAACATAGCTTGTGAAAAGTTGTGGCATATCAAAAGTTAAGGGCTGTTCTCAGTGAGAACACAGTGCATAAGCACACCTCATAGAGAAAGCTCTAGCTGAGCAAGTGTTGCCTAACAGTGATGGTAGGTCACTGAAGTCAACTACATCTTTCATGGCAATGCCAGGGATCTGAACATGGGTGCCAGGAGAATATGTGGGGCTGCCGCAAGAAGCAAAATACACAAAATAATGTTTCCACATCATATGACCTCTTTGGATTGTTGATTGTGTTCTACATTAAGCATAGATATGCATTATGGATGTTTTTTTGTTTTGTTTTTACCATTAATATAGAAATTAAACATTTTGTAATCTATTTGTTGATAAAACAGTAGATTAGTAACACCACATATATTTTCTTTGATGTTGAATATTGTTTAAGAATTGAATGAGCACAACATTAGTTCTAAATTTAAGATTTTTATTTTTAAAAGCAAAATGTGAAACTCAACAGATATAACTATCCCCGAGGTCCTATGCTGATCCTACCCTCTCTCTGCTCCCCCCACCCTTTCCTGTCTCTAGCCTAATGTTGATCCTGGACCATCATTTAAATACAGTGTAAATTCGGTAATGTTGAACCTGGCCCTTCATAAAAATTTAAATACAGTGTAAGTTCAGTAATATTGATCCTGGACCATCATCGTTTAAATGCAGTGTAAATTCACCAATGTTGATCCTGGACCATCATCATTTAAATACAGTGTAAACTTACTAATGTTGATCACGGACCAACATAAACATTTAAATACAGTGTAAATTCAGTAATGCTGATCCTGGACTATCATCATCATTTAAATACAGTGTAAATTCACTATTGTTGATCCTGGACCATCATCATCATTTAAATACAGTGTAAATTCACTAATGTTGATCCTGGACCATCATCATCATTTAAATACAGTGTAAAGTCACTAATGTTGATCTCAGACCAACTTAAACATTTAAATACAGTGTAAATTCAATAATGTTCATCTTGGACCATCACCATTTAAATACAATGTTAATTCAGTAATGCTAATCCTGGCCCATGATCATTTAAATACAGTGTAAATTCACTAATGTTGATCCTGGACCATCATCATCATTTAAATACAGTGTAAATTCACTATTGTTGATCCTGGACCATCATCATCATCATTTAAATACAGTGTAAATTCAGTAATGCTGATCTCAGACCATCATCATCATTTAAATACAGTGTAAATTCACTATAATGTTGATCCTGTACCATCTATTAAAATACAGTGTAAATTAAGTAATTTTAATCCTGGACTATCATCATCATTTAAATACAGTGTAAATTCACTAATGTTGATCCTGGACCATAATCATTATCATTTAAATACAGTGTAAACTCACTAATGTTGATCTCAGACCAACATAAACATTTAAATACAGTGTAAATTCAATAATGTTCATCTTGGACCATCACCATTTAAATACAGTGTAAATTCAGTAATGTTGATCCTGGACCATGATCATTTAAATAAAGTGTTAATTCACTAATGTTGATCCTGGACCATCATCATCATTTAAATACAGTGTAAATTCACTATTGTTGATCCCGGACCATCATCATCATTTAAATACAGTGTAAATTCAGTAATGTTGATCCTGGACCATCACCATTTAAATACAGTGTAAATTCAGTAATGCTGATCCTGGACCATGATCATTTAAATACAGTGTAAATTCGCTATTGTTGATCCTGGACCATCATCATCATTTAAATACAGTGAAAAATTCACTATTGTTGATCCTGGACCATCATCATCATTTAAATACAGTGTAAATTCACTAATGTTGATCCTGGACCATCATCAACATCATCATTTAAATACAGTGTAAATTCACTAATGTTGATCCTGGACCATCATCATCATTTAAATACAGTGTAAATTCACTAATGTTGATCCTGGACCATCATCATCATTTAAATACAGTGTAAATTCATTGATGTTGATCCTGGACCATCATCATCATTTAAATACAGTGTAAATTCACTAATGTTGATCCTGGATCATCACCATTTAAGTACAGTGTAAACTCACTAATGTTGATCTCAGACCAACATAAACATTTAAATACAGTGTAAATTCACTAATGTTGATCCTGGACAATCATAATCCTTTAAATACAGTGTAAATTCACTATAATGTTGATCCCGTACCATCTATTAAAATACAGTGTAAATTCGCTATTGTTGATCCTGGACCATCATCATTTTCAGTTTAAATTCAGTAATGTTGATCTTGGACTATCATCATCACAAAATCTACTAAAACATTTTTCACAATTCAACACTCTTTGACAAATTATGACAAGTGGATTTGCATTCTAAATGCATCTAGAAATTATATTTTGTTGTATACAAATATATTAAACCTAAATCCTGTATAAAGAACGTGTGAATTTTCCATGTGTTTTTTTGTCTTAGAGCAGAATTAATAAATAATACATAAAATATAATAAATAAATAAATAAAATTGTCATTTTAGTTTTTATACACTTTTTTACATATAAACTTTCAAACTGATTTTTGCATGTCTGTCATGTTTAAAACATTTGTAATAATATGAATGGTAATGTTTCACCAGGCTGGTTAAGTTGCACTTTTGAACCTCAGTTGTAATCATGTAATGAAATATCATGACAGCTAACATTTTTACATTCAACAGCCAATATGTTTTTGTTTGTTTCTATGATTTTCACATTTCTGTGACATGTTATGTGAGGTTATAAGTGTATTTAGCAGTGAAACGTATTTGCGTGTGTGTGAGTGTGTGTATGTGTGTGAGAATAGTAATATTTAAAAGTATATTATTATTAGAGTACTATTATCATGTGGTATACTGTTTACAAATTTTAGATTTGTGTAATTGTTTTTTTTTATAATGCACATTATCAGTGAAGGGGTAAATAAATTTGTATTTACATTAGACAAAGTGACCTTGTAAAAACACCTTATATTTTTAACACTTTGACATTAAGGAACTTGGCTAACATTAAGTCATATATACTTAGCATTTAACACACTTTATCATTAAAACACCATTTAACTTAAAAACTATAATTTATTCTAAGTTTATTCCTAATCAGGAATGTTTACCCCAATTAGATACCAGCTGATCAGGAAATAACATTTAAAGGAAAAAAGTACCCTTAGATCATTTGTAAATTATATAGGGTTTTTTTTCTGTGCTGAACATTTTCTGACCCCACCACATTGTTCTTTGGTAGAGGTGCCTGTTGTAAAATACCCAACATTCCTGTTTAAATTAGGTTTGGAAAATTTGGTTAAAATGTGTAAAACTTTAGTTAAAAAAAGTTATAGTTAGTGTGAATAAATTACATTGATTTGTATTATTTATATATTTTGTGACAATTAAAATAAGTCAAATAATCATCTTACTTTGTTTTAGTAACTTTGTCATCCTGTTAACCAAAAAAAAAACTATAGCCTATTGTTTTATCATTCTGATTTCATCATCTTAAAACCAAGTAAATGGTAATGCTAGTTTTAAAACACATGCTTTTTTATTAAAACGTTTATTAATTTAGTTTTAACCTTTAAGGTAACACTTTAGAATAACTATCCTTTATGACTACTTAATCATTAATAAACTGTTAGTTAATAAGTTATAAAAGACTTAAATCAAAGTTAATAGTTTGTTAATTATTTATAACTCTGCCTTATAGATAGCCGATAGATCAGTTACAAGCTGTTAGTTAAAAAGTTATAAATGACTTGTTAACTGCATTTTAATCATTTATAACTATAGTTAGTAATAGGTCATGAACAAGCTGTTTGTAAATTTCTTACTAAAAACTTGTTAAGTATCAGTTAATAGTTTATTTACGGTATTGGGATGTAAGGTTGCAGCTATTCTTCATTTATTAACTGTTAGTGAATGAGGAATAGTTGCAACTAGAATAACGTCCCAATAACATGCATAACTAACACTTAACTAATATAATAACTCACACTTTACAGATCAGTTGTTCATAGTTTCTTAACCATCTACTAACACCAGTGAAACTTTTGTCAAACTTTTCTAATAAAAGAAATTGTTATTTATTTTGTTTTCATGTTTAGCACAAAAAATGCCCAAAGCTTTTGGGTTTGTTTTCTGTTGTATACTGCTGTTCTGCCATGTGATGGCTCAGTATGTGTGATTCTATACATTAAACACGTTTAACATTTCATCTGTGAAGTTTCTTTGGTAAAATACAGCACACAGAAAAGCCTATATGAGTGGAATAAGGTTAAGGTACAAACATTTTATATTTTAAATAGGCTATCACATCAAATTTCTTTGGCTTGAACTTGTTCCATCCATTTGCTGTTCTACAAAGTTTCACTGGTAAGATGGTAAACAAACTATGAACAACTGATCTGTAAAGTGTGAGTTAATGTATTAGTTAGGTGTTAGTTATTAGCTTATGTATGTTATTGGGATGTTATTCTTGCAACTATTCCTTATTTACTAACAGTTAATAAATGAAGAATAGCTGCAACTTTAAAATAACGTCCCAATAAAATATATAAACTATTAACTGATCTTTAACAAGTCTTTAGTAAGAATTTTACTAACAGCTTGTTCATGATCTATTACTAATTTATTAGGTATAGTTATAAATCATTAAAATACAGTTAACGAGTCATTTATTACTTGTTAACTAACAGCTTGTAAGTCATCTATTGGCTATCTATAACGCACAGTTATAAATAATTAACAAACTATTAACTTTTATTCATTTATGTCATTTATAACCCATTAACTAACAGTTTATTAATGATCTATTAACTAGTTAAAACAGATAGTTATTTTAAAGTGTTACAGACTTTAATTTCAACCTTGTTTAAACCTAGAACATGGTTATGTTTTAACATTCCTGTCCCTTTTGGTTTTGGGGGAAGGTTTATGGGCGTGGCCTAGTGCCAGATTTCATCTCATTCAGTTTTTCATCTGCAAAGAGTGAGGACACTAAAATTTGGTGTCTGTGTAAGATAATTCTCTATTTTTCTTTAACAAAAATTTGCAAATGCAACAAAGTCTGGTAAGGTTAACACCTAACATAGATTTCAATGTTAAACATTTAATCTATATTGTTAAAGTGTATCTAATCATTATATCTTTCTTTTAAAAAACTAGGTCTATGTGTAGTTACACTTTTTAATTTTTTTTATTGTGCAGCTCAAAAATGTTCTTTTTAAAAATGTCTCTTTTCAGAAAACATCTTGCTTTACCTCTGAAATGGTTTAACACTTCTTAAATACTTTTACGAAAAACAGGGATTTTGTCAGACACTAATGTGCATTTAGACTGTGGCTGTCTTACTTTTTAAAAATGCTTTTTTAATCCCTAAATATTCCTAAATACTTTTTTTCATGAAAAACACCTGAAACGTATTTGTTCTGTTTAAAAACTAACATATAGTTTCTCTTTTCAGAATATCTTGTGATATCTCTGAAATGGTTTAACACTTTTTAAAGTGCATACTACACACAAAAAAAATCTTGTTTTGTCATATAAACTAATGTTTAATGTGTGATTAGACTTTTGTTAAAAGTTGTTAGACTTTAAAAAATAGTTTAATAATATTGAATGCTTTGTAGTTAGTACATTTTTTACTGAAAAACAAAACACTAAATTGTATTTATACTGTTTTAAAAAATTATCTCTTGCTATGAAATTGTATAACTTAGTGCATTTTTTATTTTCAAAACTTTTTTTCTTCATTTTATAGATGTCTTGTGTTTTCAATAGTTTGACAATAAGTTAAGGTTTTTGCCT